TATTTACTATATGACTCTCTGTGGAGCGTATGGCCTTGAATGTAGTTGAATGTATAATTTCCTTCTTAAGGACTTCCGTGTAGTGTTTACGTCATACCACCACCACATTGTTGGCTGCTTTGTCGGCCGGTACAAACACAAAACGCTTTGCGAGTACTTGAATTTTGTTTTTAATCCTAGAAATGGGCGTATTACGTATTCTTTTATTTATTTCTAAATTATTTTCGAAATGTGATATGCGAATATCAACAATATTCAGACATTTCTTCAAATAGGAATCAAGTGACATTTTGTCAGATTTCTCCCGTTTACACCATTTTTTACAATGGGATGAAAGAGCATCTTTAATAACCTGACGACACTCTTCCCAATTCATATTCGACGGAGGACGTTATTTTTGTCCTTTTTCCAGAAAGTTTATAACCTCTCGGTCTTGAACGATGACAAGGTCCCCTGTAGTTACATGTACATGGCCATAAGGGCGTTTTTCAAAAAATGTCCACTTTCTCTGTCCAGGGCTTAAATTGTGATAAAATCATATATATATTTATTTGTTTTTGTCTAAGTCTATAAATTGTACTTTGACAACGACAACAATTTTTGCCTGTTTTGTTGTAATGACTTTCTGAAAATATCAGACCAAAGGGCTCAAAAACAGCAATTTAAAATGCTCTGTCCACATTTGAAAGTTTATTCAAGTTTTCAAAATTTCATACAATTTACCAATCTTTTTGCTCCTTTTTTAATGTTTTGTCATAGAGCTACATCTGAACATTACAAAAAGTATTCAAATATTTAGATAAGTTCAAATAGATTTGTGATAGTAATTTTTAAGTGGCGTCCATAAAAAAATGTCCACTTCGCAACGGCAACAAACAATTGGCAAAATAATAAGCATTCTTTTCTTCAAATTGTAGTCTTTCCTTTTACTTGCAAATAATACAACTTCATGTAGTAAAATGGCGGTCATCTTTAGATGCTGATGATATAGTTCGTCTGCTTTGAATCAATTGACAAGCCTATTGATAGCGTACTTTTTTACTTATTCACTTTGCAACGTTTTTTATTAAAGAAATGTTGACCTCAAATCATAAAAAACGTAGAGTTTATGAAATAAAATGTATTATCTAATACAATAATCATAAAAACATGTAGCGTGTAACTACAATGGCTGCTAACATGTAAATACGTCCACTTCGCAACGGTCCACTACGCAACATTTCGTTTCGAAGTGGACACAATCCGTTGCGTAGTGGACACAAAGCGTTTAATAGGGGACATATATCGTTACCCAGTGGACATTTGTGAATATTTTAAAAACGGCTTGTAATATTTTTTAGCAACTAAAATTGCAAATCAAATAGTTAAACCGTATAAAATCATTTATCTTTGAAGAAAAAATACCTTTAAATTCTAATTTTTTAGCATGGTAGAGGCTTAAAAAATCGTTGCGAAAGGGACATCTTGGTACACCGTGTTCACTTTTAAAGACTTGTTGTCAAACTGACCGTTCAGTTTAAGGTTGCATATTTTGTATTTAGTTTAAAAGACTGATGTTAAAGTATTGACATATACAATTAAATCACTTATTTCTCTTCATTTTTTTTATCATTTTCCAGTTGTCAAAAATGGACTTTTAAAAAAAAAAAAAGGCCCATATCTAAACAGTCTCATGTCGAAGGAGCATTATTTTATATACTGATGTCTGATGTAACTGACGAATAATTAAAAATTAAACTTCTACTGTTTTTTTTATACGAATAAGAAATTATAGGTTGTTCTATGTTATCAAAATATGGAGGTATAAAGTTTTGAACGGTAGAGTCATAAAAAATACTAGACAAATTGATAAAATCAATACCTCTATTAAGGTATTTTATTTTTATGAAATATGCTTTTTATGATCTTTAGGTTTGTCAATTTGATGGAACAGTCTATGGTGACAAAAGGCTGTAATAATACGCATACACTCATATATTGGACTGAAAAACGGTACTGTATCACATTCGTTATAAATATTATGTAATTTACTAATTAGCATTTGGCCCAGTTTGCATAATAATTGATGTCTACCATTGTTTTTAAATATAGATAAAAAAATCATCAAGTGTAAAATTAAAACGATATTTATTTCGTTGATTGCGGTAAATGCGATTGCCATGAGACCTATGATTTCGTTGTCTTTCATCAACATTAGTCAAGATATCAATAGAGGAAGTTTTAGATATGGTCCCTTGGTCCATTATATTGTTATTTAGACCTATGGAATACGCTGTCTGTAGTCGTTTAATCCAAGAAAGTTCGCAAAGTTTACATGAATCTTCAAACTGTTTATGTGATTGTTCTGGTTGTTCCAGGACGGTTTGAAGTGGTTGGAATTTTATAAATCTAATGTTGTGTTTTGTGTTTTTTTAAATGTTGGTAAATTAAACTTTTGGATTTCTTAGGTCTTCGGAAGCGGTATAGATGTTCTTGTGTTCGTTTGAAAAAATCACGTCCAGTTTGCCCTACATATTGAATACTACAGTTCGGTTTTGTTCATGTTACAAGATATATGAGGTTTTGGGTTTTTCAAGTAATGTCATATGAAAAGGAAAGAGAAAAAGTTATTCCGTTCACTGATGAACGAACAGTATTATCTGAAGATAATCTGGAGTATGTACTATGTTAATAAGAACATATTGTATCTTTTTGAAACGTTGATTCCGCGTATAAACCAATTAAAAACAAAAAGAAAAAGACCCGAAAGAAAGAAGAAAAAAAAAACATAAAATAAATCTAGATCTTCTCCGAAAGCAAACTATAAATACGATAAGATGTTGAATCACTCCACCTGCGCTTTCAGTTATGTTTTGTAGATTTTATTTTTCATTAAATGTGAAAGACTGTTTGTCCTTGAGTCGGTGTTGATTGGATCTCTAAGTAGTTTGTAATTTCCTAATTAATACAGATACAGTCTCATAACAACTGTTCGAGTACACAGTGTTTACAATGTTTTGTGTCAGATTTTGGACAATAAATGGCTGATATGCAATATAATTGTCATCGTATTTTAAGGGGGCGATGAGTTTTCATCACAAATACATATCAACTACATGAAGATACTTAATGTCAAAAGCAGCACCGACAACCTTGTATTGTCTGAAAATGTTGACAAGATATTTTAAGGACAAAAAGAGCAAAAAACCAAAGTTTGGACTGGTATACATACCTAACATGATAAATGCAGTTTTGCAACTTTTTTCTCATAGGAATCGTAGTTTGCAGCACATTTCTATATAAAGCACAATAATGTGTTCACACTGGAATCCTCTGTATTATTTATTTCCAATTTTACCCTTTTAACATTCCAGAATCGACTTATATTGCGGAAAATTAATTTTGTCGATGTATCACTATCTTACAGCACGAAAAGTTTTTATGTATACGCGTAGAGATATATTTGTGATTGCTACTATGAGGGTTTGGATGGGGTCCTTCAATTCTTTATTCTTTATTTTTTTTAGCCATTTTTCTCTATTCTTCATACATTTTGCCCATTATTTTCTATTTTTTGGGCCTATTTTTTCTATTCGTTATTTTTGGACAATTTTTCAGTAAGTAGTGATTCATTATTATCTGTTCTTAAACCCCTATCTTGACCCTCTACAATAATATTAAGGCTTTGGGAATTTGTGCTGTATGAGCGTTTGTCCTATCATCGATACAGTGTAACCTATTACTTAAAAAAATGTTTTCGGAAAAGAATAATTTTCTTTCTATTTCTATATCATAGACTTTTCTTAAATCAGGTATTTTTCAGTTATTTAAAAACATAGGTATTGTATTTTCCTCTAAAATGAGACATGTTGACGTTTTGCTGTGGACACTTGTAAATCTAAATTAAACCGCTTTTGTTCTTTTAAAATACAATAAAAAAAAATGATAGCATTAATTAGAAATCCAAATTGTAAGGTAATGAGAAAAAAAAGCATATGGTGTATTTATTCATGACACAAAAACACTACTTGCACATGATAAATGTCGACAGTGCCGTTGTTATACATATACCGAGTTAAAAAATTGCGCGTTTATCTATAGTATTTCCAAAGAGTAATCATTGTTCTACTAACTTCCATGAAATTGTGTGTGAATTGGAAATGTATATGGGGATAATATATTTATCTTAGTAAATGGTCAAATTTGTATTTTGCAACTGTAGCCAGCAAAACAAAAATGGACCCTAATAAATCTTTTTCAAAACATAATTTCTTTTCTTAAATGTTGATCTTGTAATGTTTCGAATTCTTTGAGGAACCATAAAGGGGACTACACTTATGAGATTGAAATTGAATTGTGGCAGCGCAATCTAGGAAATCAAGATAAAGCATTCTCTATCAATATGACATAGTCAATGAACAAAAGGGGGAACTTACTGACTCTCCATTCCAGATAATTTTACAATTGTAAAATTTAATGATCCCGTTCTCTTTTCCTCGAATGTGACATCACCAAATTAGATTTAGTACTGAGTTTGCTTGAGCAACACGACGGGTGCCACATGTAGAGCAGAATCGTTTACCCTTCCGAAACATCTAAGATCACCCCGGTTTTTTGGTGGGGTTAGTGTTGCACAGTCTTTAGTTTTCAATGTTGTGTTTTGTATACTGCTGTTTGTCTCGGTTTTCGTTTTTAGCCATGACACTGCCAGTTTGTCATATATTTATGATTTTGAATATCCATTTGAAATCTTCCGCCTCTTTTTTATTGAGATTATGAAATTTTAGTGGTGTTTTCTTCCTGCGTGTACAATGTATCAAGGCAATAATAAATAATAAAAAAACAAACACAAAAATAGAATACAAAACAAAAACAAAAACAAAAACAACAAGTCCATAAGTCACAATAAATTTAATAAACTTTGTATTGCACTTTAACCATGCAGAAGAATCATTAAACACTCCTTCAATAAAGTGTTTCGATATCATTACTTAATTTTGTAATAATTATCATATTTCCAAGTTTAATGTTTTGATTGATTTAAGTTACTGTAACACGTCAAGATGACTAATTGTTATTTTAAACTGAGCCATGTAGACTGAGTGCGCTCTCTTTGAAAATCAATAATAACATTTTTAGACTTCCGTCTTCTAAAAGTGCAAAATAATTTCTTAAGTGTCCGCCGAAATTCTCCACTCATTGAGCAATAAAGAATGAAGTTAACAGCATTATTGATGAGAGCTAAAATATCCATCGCATCTCCGAGAGGAATGTACACGTTGTCGAAAAATCCCTTTAAAACTACACTAAGAATAATCAAAATTCCTTGAGGAAACTCTGTCAGTAGGAAAAGAACAATGACTGTCAACAACATTATTGTTGTCTTCGATGTGTCTCTTGGTTTGTTGGAAAACACCCCGCGTTTCACTTTGCGGGAAACTGCAAGCAATCGCCGATTTACTGTTTTAAGCAACATTGATCCATATATGATCATTAAAATACAAGGAAAGATTTTTGCGAGCGAACTATACAACATAAGATTCATCATAACTACCGCTCGGACATGAGGTGTCCCTAATTCGAGATCGCGTAAAATAAACATGGTTGTGTTTTGATATTTAACCAATTTATTTGACATGTAATTCGGAATCATTAATATCACAGATGCAATAATTATCACAAACACAACTAATCTTGCTCTGATGAGACGGCGCATGCGTGTTAACGATCCTTTGGCAGGCGAATGAATATGGCGGTATCGAAATATCGCCATTGATACGCCTAGCCATATCGATATAGTGTGAGCAGTTGCCGAGAAATTGACATGAAAAATCAAAAACATCATCCACCCGTACGAGTTTTTCTCTTCCGATATGTATCCAGACGGAAACTGGCAATAGAAATGAAGCGCAAACGGTACATACGAACACATTGTCAGAATGTCAAATACGGCCATCGACGTAAGAATAAAGTTGATTGGTGTTTGCATGTGCTTCCGGGTCAACACAGTAATGTTTATGACATTGGTTGGAATTCCGAAGAAGCATACGAATAGACTAAGATAACCATGGACTCCCATATACTTTAAACTTATCGATTGGAGAGAGGGGTTCCAAAAGGGTTCTTCGTTGTGTTGAAAGTATAAATGCTTGTAATGCGATGCGTTAAATATACTAGTTGTTAATTCCATAATCAGTGTGCTGTTATACGTTAGTAAAAAAGTCATTTCTCCTCTTCAAAGTGTATTTCTGTTAAACTAAAATACGTTTGACCTTCGGCTTGAACTTAATCTCCAAAACTGATACATGTAGCTACTACCAAATTTGTCATGGGCCAAGTGTTATGGCTATAATCTCAATCTGGTTTGAAAATCTTTTAAACTTCTCACTGAAAAAAAAGTTATACAGTATATTCATACATATTATAGACAGATTAATTTTGGGATGTATGAATTTATGTATATCATGTCCTTTTTCTATATAGGCCCTGGTATCGCACCGAGACTACCATATCAGCCAAAGGCGTTAACCGAGGGCTGATATGGATCGAGGGATGGTACCAGGTACAATATGGAAAAAGGACATGTTTTAATCTATTGATCACATATTAAACAAATGCTTAAAAAGTAGAAAGAATTGAATTTTTCCGTCTGGCAAGATCATGCATTTTTTTCTCCCCTGAATATTTTTTTTATTGATGAATTTGAGAAATTTAAGTATTCAGTCTTACCTCAAGTAGACACAACAAATCAATTTTTAAAATTGTCCTCACAAAAATGTGTCAGTGCTATTTCATTCCATCTGTTGAAATGACCATCAAAGATGATTTACATCTTCTTTTATATTAACACTTTCAAGTTCACTCATGTTTATCACGGTTCGATTAAAAATAACGGGAAAGGATAAATTAATAATGTCACTCGGAGGTGGGAATATGTTATAAATGTGTCAGAACCTACGAATGAAGTAATATTAATTCACACCGGGTATACCAATCTGAAACCATGGAGGGATCCGAATCCCTAGGAGCATTTAATGAAAAGTTTTTTACGGTGGATAAGTAAAATCTGGATCCGAATCCCTAGATGGAATTATGGAATTGGATCCACATTTTACCTACCCACCGTTACTAACTTTTCAGTAATTGCTCCTCGGGATTTGTATCTGTCCCCGGATTTTAAATTGGACCTCTGTTGTGTTCACTTATCGCTACACTAACCTTCGGTGCAGAGATTTAGATGGAATGGCGGACCAGTTTAACCGGATTTCAGATCAAGATACCCGGTATATTAATTTACATTCTTCCCGAATAACCACTGAATATTAAACAAACAATACTTAATCAATGATATAAAACTGAATCGATTTAGGCATTCCATATCATTTTAGGATGTTCGCTACTCTGTTTCAAAGTTACAAGCTTTTTAAAAGACTGTTATAGATTGATAGTTATAAATAAAGGAACTAAATCAGCAGAAAAAAATGAAGGGTCCGTGTGCTTGTTTACGAGATATAAACCACTGAAAATTTGGCGGGAAATGATTCTCTCTAGACGTTTTTTACATTTAACATTGACACCTTTATTCATTCAAATTCATTCAAAAAGTATAAAAAAAATGACAAGGATTTTATAAGATTTTGAAATATGGCTTTTTAAACTATATGTCATAAAATTATGAAAAAAGCAGGGGATAAAGAGCAACATTTTTTATGGTACTACATGGATAAAACCAGAGGATTCCGAATATCTGGCCATAATTCAAAAACAAGAGGAGCGAACATCCTTAAAACTACAACAAAAAGACATCAAAAAGCTATTTTGACACATTTCTTTCATTTTACTAGTACCTTATATTTAAACAAGTCGAGAAGGAACTACTTACCATTCCGGAGCACCAGTTTTTGATGGGGTTCGTGATTCTCAATATTTAGTTTTTGGTTTGTTGTTTTATTGTTGTCTGTCTTATCGCCCCTTTTCATACATGGTATGATTATAAAATAAGAAGATGTGGTATGATTGCCAATGAGACAACTCTCCAACAGAGAACAAATGACATAGAAATTAACAACTATAGGTCACCGTACGGCCTTCAACCAATACCTCATAGTCAGCTATGAAATGCCCATGGCAGAAATGAAAAATGTTAAACAATTGTCTGTTTTTTTCGACTTATGATTTGTGATTACCCTCTTGGTATCTTTACTTCCTTTTTATATTTAATATCCATTAATATAGTGACTTTTTTCTAGATGTTTTGCTAAGTGTACATCCTCTTCCCACATTTAATTGTGCCAAGTCTTGGATATAACGAAAACAACTCATTCTACAATCAAAATAATTTACTTTCAAAATTGAGGTTACTAACAACTTCTACAATTGTCTAATGAAATATTCATTTAATTTAGAAAACTCTTCAATTTTCAACTCTTTCCAATTATCATGTACAAATGTCACTTCATTTTCATCGCCAATTTTATTGAAATTGTCACTTTTATTGGAAAAATTCTTTTAAATGAAAATATAAAATCACTCAAGGGGAAACTTCATTACTATATTCATCACGTATCAACTTCTTATAGGATTGTTGTGTCCTTTTTTGTCAAGAATGATCGATTCTACTGGATGAGCTTTTTCAGAATTTTAGCAAAAATTATTATGGTAAGTAATGACATTCATTGATAAATAATATTACTGATTCAGACGGAAAATATATTATTTTCAAGTTTAGGAACTATTTCGTCTCGAAATCGTATGGGTATATGCAATCAATACATGTAATGGATAAACAGTTTCTCTTCCGGCGATAAACGAAAGAAGACATCGATTTTAAGTTTTCAGAAAAGCTGCGTTTAAAATGTTTTTAGCTACGAAATGCGTCCAGTAGTCATTGGAAGCAGTTCTTTTTATCACCTTTATAAATCGTTGTAACTACTACTAATTTAAAAATGGAACACTTGACTAATTAAGCGTTATATAACATACATACTACATATGCACAGACCAAATTTTTTACTGAGTATGGTATCAATTTTAAAACTTCCAGTCTGTCCCAAATTTTTTAAGCTAGTCTAATAAAATATTTCAAATATATTTTGTTTTCTCATGAATACAGCTCTAATATCGGCCGCTGGATATTTTAAATTTAAAATTAATCTACTACAGAAACTCATGAAAGATGTCAAGCTTATAATTTTGTATGCCAGACGCGTGTTTCGTCTACAAAAGATCCAGCAGTGACGCTCGAATAAAAAAAGTTAAGAGGTCAATAACTCTGGAAGGTATATCTATCTGATCAACACCACTTTAACACGTATGTATGTTTCGTCTGTGTGTTGACATCTAGGTGTCCTTGTGTCGTTAATTAAGTTGCTGTCTCATTGACGTTTACACAAATATACAATATTAGGTCAATATCAGAAAAATATCATTTTTTTTATGCGCGGCTTAGAAACTGCATGGGAGGTTCACTGAGCCCTTCTACTGTTTCGTACCGAATACAAAAAAAGTATAGATTATAGGTACTGACGTTGTTTATCTTCTTAATTACGTGTTATAGGATCCTTAATTTGTCTTTGTATATTATAAGTCTTTTCTGTTTAGTCCATTTTTGGTAATATTCTTTTGGCGTGGCTCGGTACTTATACATCCCGCCATTGTGTTATTGTGCTATGTCGCGAATCGATTTGGCCCTAGAAATTGCTTACTAGAGGCATACGAAAGGGACGTTCTTATGCAATACTTCGATGTCAAATCAAAAGTCCAAGCATTGGACAAGTATCAGCAATTACAAACAATTAAGCACCCCCCCCCCCCTCCACCACTAAAAAAAAAACAAAAAAAAAACAAAAACATTAAAACATAAAAAAAACAACAAAAAAACAACAAGATAAACAAAAACTAAAACAACTTAAAAAAACTGAAAGACAAAGCAATAGTCCAAATTTTATAAATAAATAATTCTAAGGTTTTCACAAGTGCTGATCTATAGAAGCTTACGTCTCAGAAAAAGCTAATTATGTGGAATGTAAAGACATGTGATATGTTATGATATAAATTGATAATACAGAATGTGTTAAAGTATTTTTTATATGGCTTCAGCTTACAAATAATCTAAGCTGAAATACGTGAATAGTTCACATTAAGGTCAAGGGACGGTAAATACTGTGTTTAAATTTTAATATTGCACAATTAAAGTCATGGTTTTCTCAGACTTTTTGTGAAGTCTTAATACTAAATCCGCTAGATGCGTTTTGTATTTATACGTTAGTCTGGGATAACATGATTAATGTATTAGTTGCAATTTGCTTCACTTTAGTTTTGCGTAACTGCGAGTTCTCTTAGATCAGTACTTTATGTTTTTGTTATTTATGTAAGTTTTGTTTGTGCTTAATGCCAATCTAATGAGGCAAGCATTCTGCAACTGAATTTTCAGTTTGTTATTCTGTTCTACTGCAACAACAGCGGTTGAGTGCCTACAAAAAGCTTAACCTCGCCATATACTTTATGTGCTTGTCCCAAGTCAGGAGCCTGTTACTCAGTGGTTGTCGTTGGTTCCTGTCTGTCATATTTGTATTTCGTTTCTTGTTTTCTTATAAATCCGCAGGCCGTTGATTCTTTCGCGTTTGATTGATTGATTGATTGAGTTGTTTCACATTTTGTCACATTTTTTTTTGTATGTCAATTGTCGAATAGCATAAAAAAATAGTGTAGAACTGTGGTTTCGAAAAAACAAGTATAAATACAAATTCGAAAGTATGATATTGTTTACCTTAATCGCTGAAAAAGGTTACTTTTCTAATATTCTTGATTGACCAGATATCCACAGCTGTATAATAATCAAATGAATAGTTTTTTATTGACTGAGCACCAGCTTAGTGAATTAATTGTTTCTCGCGGATTAATATTAACGTAAAAAGTGTAATATTTCCTGTACCAATAAATTTCATAACTGCAGCACGTCAAGCAACAAACAGACAATGTATTAAAGTCAGTTATTTAATTATAAGTCATTATTAGCAAGAGTTCTTTACGTGCAATCCGGCATTCATTTAAATGTACTTTATGAGGATCTGGAAAAAA